AATTAAATAAAGTAATGATTTCTTTGCTAATTACAAGAAACATTTATTAATGATTCTTTTTTATGTAGGCTGAACCTCTATATTTATAAATATTTTTTTTTATTTTTATTTAATCTAATAAAATTTGATTAATATCTTTGTTAAAATTATAAATTATATAAATTTATGTATTTAATAATTAATTTTATATTAAATTAATTGTAAACTTGCGGATTAATTGTGAATTTGCGGATATTGTGAATTTGCGGATATTGCGGAATTATTTTTTTAAAATTCATAATAGTTGCAACCTAAAATCCGAAACTTAATCCGCAACTTATAAGTTGCGGAGCCATCTTTACTAATAGTTAATAATGATAATATATAATAAGCTTTAATTGCAGAAAAAATAATAAATCAAAAAAATCAAAGAGCTATTGAAGCTCTTTTGCAAACCAATATGGATAAATCTTTAAAAGTTGATATAGATCAACATTTAAAAGTTATTGATTTAACAGTTTCAACAGAATAACAATTAACATATATTGAGATTATACAACTTATCTTGAAAGAACAATATAATAATATTAAATTAAATAATAAAATTAATCAGAAACGTCATATAGTATTAACAAATGAAACTTTTAATAGTCTTAAAATATAAATGCAATATTTAGAAGAATGGAAAATGAAGAATTTAATATAAAAGATATGCAAATTTTTAGAAAATATATGAGCATTATGTAACAAAAAGTTTTTGATAGTAAAATTCAAAAAAATATTATGAATTTTTTATTTAATATATCTTTTAATGTATTTTATAATAAATATATTTGATAATAAATAATTTTATAATACAATCTTTACTTAATTACAATATTCATAATATTATAAAATTTACTTATAATATGATTATACTAGGAAATGAAAACCATTGCTAAGTGTGAAGCAAGTAAGCAATCATGTATCGACTCAATGTTTGAGCTGAAAGACAATAGGATATCTTCTCACATCTTAAGTCAATACATCTAAAAATATATATTCAATATATAGTTTTATCTTTATATAAGTACACATTTTGCCTAACTGCATGATTATAAAGAGGTATATATGACTGTAATTTGTTGTACTATACCAAAAAATTCATTATAGTAATAATGAATTTTCTTATAACAAAGTTCTGATCAGCCAAAACACCAACTTTGGTATGACTGTACTAAAGAATTAAACATGTATATATACTTAGAAAGTGTGTTATTATATGAAGATGCTATAGATGACATGTATGACTATGATGACTAATATGTTATATATGTCATATAGCTCTTATATTTTATATATTTTTTTATTTTTTTTAATACATATATATCTTATACATATTTTATATAATTATTATATTTCTTATACTTCTTATATATCTTTGAATACTTTATATAATTATTTTTCTATAAATATGCTTGGAGTCTTAGGTCTGTGAACAGTATTCGAGTATATTTTAGATTAGTTAATCCTAGATAGTTTCTTTGATATATACAGTACAGAATGCTGACAGAGGCAGTACCCTAATTCTTATATTTACAATAAACTTTAGTTTCTTTCTAACTGAAAAAACTTGTTATCTCAAATGCTTATTCTTTTCTTTTATCATGTTCTAATAATTTCTCATTGTAGCAAATGAATTTGAATATGAAAGGATAACTAACCAGTTGGCTTTTTTCCAAATTATGATATCTTTTTTTCAACGTTTATCGCTCATCTTTTTAATTATTTCTTTTTTTTTTAAATTTTTCACTTCCAAAAAAAAAATAAATTTTCCTTTCTCACCTTCTCTCATCTTTTCTCTTTTAACTATTATCACTTATTCTCATTCTTTTATAAATTTCCTCAAACTATTTTCTCCTTTCAATTTTTTAATTTTTTTTCAGATTTTCTTCTTAAAAAATCTTTTTTTTTCTTATACGAAGCTTGCCATTTCTCTGTGGTGTTTAGGATCAACCATGCTAGATTAAAAATAAAGAGCAGTATAGATTGTATTACTTTAATTCAAAAAATTACGAGTCATTGCAAATTAAAATTTGCCTTTAATAATTGATTTATAATAATTGTTATTTGTAATAAATAGACTTTTTATTTAGCAGTCTTGATAAATTATAAGATTATCCGCAACATCATAATGAGGAAAATAAATTTAGAAAAACAAGAATTAAATATGAATTTCAAATAAGGATATCATCACAACGCAATCGATAATAGTTTGTAGAATAAACATTTTAAACAAAATGTAAAAAATATAAATTGTTAAAATAAAATAAATCTTCATTGAGTTCAGTCCTAAAGAATCCCCTTTCCGAATTAGCTTCCATATCGACATATAAATAATGATGGAATGACGTAGACTAAGCGTTCCAAAAGATAAAAATCGTTTGAATCATCCTTGAGGTTGATTCCAAGTTGAAACTTATAAAAATATCTCCTAATTGAAATCTTATTGAGGTGGAGATTAAACGATACGTTGGTGGTTGTGATGATTAATACCTTCATCCTCATCATAGCTGTGAGGCCTTATTATAACCAGTAGTTCCATTAGACAATCCAAGATAGTCATAACTCTCATCACGATGATAAAAATTATAATTCTCGGTGGGGTAAGATTTCTTTTTCGGAAAAAATTTTGTTATTCGAATACAGTAGTGGTATTTACCCTTTGAATTCAACGATTCTTCACATTTACAACGGTATTCCACAGATATTTAGTAACCTGGACAGACAGTGAGCTTTCTTTTAATCTGTCAAGTAAATTTTCGCTATATATAATGTTCAAACCTTCGTCAAGATATAAGCCATTTTGTTTTCATAAAACTCCAAGGTTATTAAATTTGTCATCTTGGAATAAATGACAGTTTTCAGAAATCACATGTTGGCCGAAGTTCACAATACAGCATCCAAAACCAATGATGAACTATTTAAGAAAATGTAATATGAAAAATAAATGCTAAGGCGATATTACTTGAGAAAATTTACACTATCCAAATTAAGACAATCATGATTTCAATCTCTCGGTTTAATCTGACGTTAAAGTATTCTTCTCTATGATAATGCTACTTAAAATATATAAGTAAAGAAATTAAATGTCGCAAAAATTATCCCAAATAATAAATCCACAAAACTTCTAACTCCATCATCAATTAATTTAATTGAAATCCATAAAACATCAAGCAGCCTTCCTAGATATAATACGCATAGAGAAACAACTGTCATTTCCCATAATATTATAAACCATCTGATAAAATTTGGTTGCTTTGAAAGGAATGTAAAGTGTATGTCTAATAATGCTGATATTTCTTTAAATAATATACTTATACCGAATATATCTGTTGAATTAATATTTATTGTTAAAAATGATATTGTCGTGGAATTTTTTGTTGTCTTTGCGGTGAGTTGGGAATTATTTTTCCAGGGTTTTAAAATGGATGTTTTGGTTGATGACTTCGTAGATTTGGCTTTCAACTCGGATTTTTTTGAAGTAGAAGAGGAAGGTCGTGAGAATACCCTTGTTAAAAAATTAGATGTAGATGGAGGAGTCTTCTTTGACATTTTTATAAAAATTTCGAAAAACGGAGAAATAGAAAATTTGGTATTTAGTTAATTTTAAAAATTTATTAATTTATATAAGAATTTATAATCTTTCAATTAATTAGAATTAGAAATTAGAGATTTAATATAAGGATTAATTAATAAAAGATAAAAAGATAAATTTATATGAGAAATTATAAATTTTATAAATATTTTTAGAATAAAAAAAGGAATTTTCTTAGATTACAAATTTAATATATTATATCTTATTTATTATATTATAATATATTTTATTATTATTTATATTTTAAAATCAAGCAAAAATAGTTAAATTTTATTAGTTTTAATAAAAAATTAAATATAAATTATCAAATAAAATTAAGGTAATTATACTTTAATTACTAATTAATTAAAATATCAAAAAAAATTTTTTTTATAATAAAACAAATATAATAAAAAAAGTATTATTTAAAATATTTTGTAAAAAAAAAAAATATATTAATAATTAATTTTTAATAAGCTCTTTAATGTTAAATATAAACTTTATTTATTAAAAAAAATATTTTAATATATAAAGTAAAATTTAATTTTTTGTTAATTTAGTAAAATAATTATTATTTTATATATTATACAATTAATTCTCTCTATAGTTATCTCCTATATAATTACACTTCTTCTTTAGTCACATTATAATTCTGTACTAATTTTTTACATAAGAAAATACATCTTTTATAACCACAATAATATATAAAAATATAATCATATCAATTTTTAGTTCTGTCTTATAATAAATATAAGAAAATCACCTTCTATATAATCACATCAAATTATATAATCACAGTAAAATTATATCAATATTAATTTTATTATACAAATAGTATTTACAATATCTAAAAATTAAAAGAGTATGATCTCAATCAATATCACTCTGTTTTTCATTAAACAACTACTATTTAAATCTTTAAATTAGATGAATCCAAGTTAATAAATAAATTCTATTTAAAGGAAAATTCAATTATAAATATTTTATGATTATTTGATTGAAATTTAATACATATTAGCTCATTAGATTTGTCTAGTTTTGAAGATTCAAATGATAGTTATTCATGAAAAACAGAATAGTATTGACTGAAATTGTATTCTTTTTTTAGATTTTTTATATAATAATTATGTAATATAATAACGTTAATTTTAACCATTTTGCAATATTAATTAATTTAGTTTTATATTTAATTTATACTAATAGATAATTAAATTTATATTTATTTTTAATAAAATTTTTAATAAAATTTTAAAATCTTACATAATTTATTATAAAATTAATTAATATAAAATTTTACATATAATTACATTAATAATATTTTTATATATAAGTAATTATCTCTTAAACTGTAAAGCAGGTAAATTTGCCTACGAAATTAAAAAAAAATGTATAAAATATTAAATATTAATTTTAATAATATCATTATTATATAAAAAATATAGTTTAATATATTTTTTATTAACTTTATTAATAAAAATTTTACCAAATTAAAACGTCAATCAAAATTTTTTAAAGTTAAAAATGATCTATTATATAAGGAATAAAGAAATTTTAAGTTTTTTAAAAGGTTTTTAAAATAATCTAATTTTAAAATTAAGTTTCAAACAATTTCTTATAATAATTTTTTAAAAATTCTTTAAAAATTTATATGTTTACGTACTAATTAAATCATTTTATCATTAATTAAAATCATAAAATTTCTTAATAAATTATAAAAATTATAATAATAAAAGTTTTACTTTATAAGTAATTTTATAATATTCTATTATAATTAATATAATTAAAAGTAAATTCTAAAAAAGTTTATTATCGATTAATCATGAAAAATTTAATATAAATTTTTTTTAAAAATTAAAAAATTACAGATTTTAGCTTCTAAATAATCTTAACTTTTTAATATATAATTAAAAGATAAAACTTGCTATAATTTATTATATATTTATAAAATTAATTTAAAAAAATATTAATTATTTATAAAAGTAAATCAGAAGAAAATTTATAGTAAATAAATAGACAAATTTGCCTGCAAAATCCTATGATTTAAGGGATAATAATAAATCCTTTAATATAAATATATCTTTATATAGTTATACTATTTTATGATCCTAAGAGGTATAATTATAGAGGGGGTTGACATTATATATAATATAAAAGTAAAATTTAATAAAATAAAAAAGTTATTTAGATAAATAAATTACATAACATAATTTTTTAGAATAATTAAAGTTTTAAGTTAATACTCTTTAATTTAAAAATTAAATGTAATTGATTTTAATCAAATTGATTAGCTAATAATTAATTATATTACTTATTTTTTTTGTTATAATCATATATGTTTAATAAATGATTATTATATTAATATTTAAAATTTTATGATTATCAATAAGACATTATCTTAAACCTTTATTAGAAATACTAAAGTCTTTTATTTGATAACTTCTATTTGTAACTAATCTAGATTTTTATTATAATACTCAAAATAAGTTTTTAAAAAATTTTTTGATATCTTTTACAAGTACTAATAATTATTAATTATGTTTCACTTTAAATTAAAAATCAATTATACTATAATTCTTATCATTAAATTATATATATTATAATTAAGTAATCTATAATTTTTTATATTTAGATAGTAAGTATATTTTTGAATTAATGATTAGAAGTAATCCTATCCTATCTAACAAAGTAATAATTATATTAATCATTTTAAAACTTGAACTTAATCTCAAATCTAATAATATGTTTAATTAGACAATATTACATACTTGTTATTTTAATTACAATAAAATTCTTATTAAAATCATATATTTTATGACTTAATTGAGATCTGAACTTTACCTTATTACATCTATTATAAAACTTTAATTATAGAAGATTTGAAACTTAATTATTTAGTAAAAGCTATTACATACATTAATTATATTTTAATATTTATTTTTTAATGTTTCAATTCATTTTAAAATTTGATTAATTATTTTTGTAATATATTTATATATAACCCAAACTATTTTATTAATGCTAAAAGTTAAAATACATATAATTATTACTTTTTACACTTTTTACTTTCTACATTTCTTATTATTATTTATATAGTTTAAAGTAATCTAACTTTATTTTACTATATTATATAACTATTATTACTATTATATTAAAATAATTTGATATTAGAATGTAAATATAGATCTATAATTACTAAATTGCTACTTTTTAGATTATAACTTAGATTATAATTAGTTGTAGAATCTTAATTATAAGAATTATAATATAAAAATCTGCTATTAATTATAATTTATAAGATTATAATCTAAGTTGTAATTAGTTGCAGATTTTTAAATCAATTGTAGTATCATTTTAATAATATATCAAACAAATATTATATAATTTTAACTAAAATTACTTGTTTAAACTATTTTGTATTTAGCAATATATTATTTTTTACTATTATTTAAAAGTTTATATTGTTAACGTGCGATTTTGGTAGATCGCTACAGTTAAATGAGGTGTTCGAGAGTTGTTTCTTTTTAATGTACGTAGTAATTTACTAATTTATTCCCAAGTTCTGGATTTATAATTGGTTTTACCCAAACGTATTTAATTATAACTCACTAAGACTAGTGTATTTCCAAAGATTCACAATGAATGTTGTTGTCACGAAGGCCTAACTGTTACCTTAATTCACAAAGATTTATACACTCGCTCAAGTTTTATAAGATCACTCAGATATACAACATTATTCAGACAACGATATATAATATCACTCAGATGTATAATAATAATAAGATAGTTTATTGATAAATAATAAGAAGGAAAATAAGAAGTAAAGAAATAAAGAAATAAAGGAACAAGGTAAAGAAAATAAGAAAGAAGATTTCACTAAGATAAAAGAGTACACAGCTATTCAAAGGTTTCTAAGAGAATTATTGCACACAGCTGAGTTGAATTCTGCCTTTCTACAAGTTCTAAA